GAAGTTCTCCTTATCGTTCCACTGGTCGCGGGGAACGGGATCGTTGGCGTCGGGCTGTGCGTTGAACGGCAGTCCACTTTGCGGCGGAGGCATTGTTAGCTCCATGAGCGCCGGCGGTATGTATATGGGGTGCGGGGGTATGGGCACAGCCTTACCCCAACCCAGTTTCATCTCGTATTCCATGATGTCTTTGCCGTTGAGTGCTTTGAGAGCCCGTTCCCCGTCCTTGCGGTTCATGTAGGCCACGAAACCGCAGTTCCTGTTCCTCGACCTCTCCTCATCACTTCGCGGCCACATTATCTTCACTGAGGCTAACGGTCCGTATTTGCCGAATATCTGACACAACTGCGGTTCAGTCATCTTAGGGTTCAGATTACCTAAGTATATGTTTGTCGTGTTTGGGTCGCCCGTGTCGAACGACCCCAGCGCCGGGATCCGGTACTCGTCAGCTGTTGGGAAAGGGATGCAATCGTGAGTATGGTATCGATTGAATGGTAAGTGAGATATCAATTGAAGCGAAGTATATGTCAATTGATTGGTAAATAAGTTATCATTTGAATGGTAAGTATGCTATCAATTGACGGATCAGTCAATACATACCGAGTTTGATGCCGGCGTCCACTTCGACGGCCTGTTTAGCACTACTACTGCTACTGACCGGCACTTTCACACCCGTCTCCTTCATCTGAGTCTTGAGGCGATGCCTTTCCTCCCGTTCCTCTTGAATCAGTTTCAGCTCTTCTTTAAAGAGCTCTAAATTACTCTTTTTCTTCGTCTCCGACCTCTTCTTCGCCGGCTTTTCGCTGCGAAACAGCGGTTCCGATGCGGAGGAGCTCTTCGACGACGACTCCATCGACTTCTTGGCCTCCAATTCATGCAATTTATTCGGTTTATAGAGTTTTCCGGAGGAATGGGACGACAGTTCCTCTGCATGAATGAGACAATCAATTGATATACTGATAGCAGAAGTGGAGGAATGAGTGGAACAGACCTCCAGAGGCGGCGTTAATGACATTCCCTCTGACGAAGAGCTTTGTCTGTTTGGGTGCGTCCGAGAAGTCTTCGACGAACTCCTGGTAGGCCTTAGCGGCCGCCTCTTCTTCGGCGATCTTCTTCTGTTTCTCGATATCTTTCTTTCCCAACACTTTCTTCACTGACGAGGAAGTGGTCAGAGAAAAGGCTTTCATTTTTCCCATTTGTGACTATTGTCGAGACAATTGGANGCGATCTTCTTCTGTTTCTCGATATCTTTCTTTCCCAACACTTTCTTCACTGACGAGGAAGTGGTCAGAGAAAAGGCTTTCATTTTTCCCATTTGTGACTATTGTCGAGACAATTGGAGGGTTAGTGAAGGTCTGTGTGGTTGTGGTGAAAGTGGTATGTGTCGTGTGGTATAGCTTACCATTGTTGGTGTCTGTAGTGATCAACTGATCCGTGAAATCATGGCTGAAGTGGTGGTAAATATCTTATGAACTCATTGTTGACATGCAATGCATTGACTGCAGTGTTGTATTGAGGGGTCGTATAGTCATTACGAGTGATATGTCTGTCAGTGAGAAGTTTATTGAAAAACTTTTTTTGTGTGGAAATTAATTTATTTGATTATATCCTGGTAATTTAATTGAATTATTTTTTATTTAATAATTAGTATGACATTAAACATAACATTAAATAGTTGAAAATATTAGCATATGATACTGTATAGCTATTGTATGTGAAAATGTTGAGTTTGTAAAACTTTTGTCACAAAAAGTTTGTTCATTATCTCAAAATGTATTAATTGTTTGAAACTTATGTTAAAACGTTTTAATAATCTGTAGAATAGCCGTCGGAATCACTCAAATGAGTGTCATTCCCGTCAGTGGACTCATTGAGTGTTAAATTCAAAACATTTAAGTTTCGGTAACTTTCTAACCACCGCCTCAATAGCCGGTGTTTTCACTAATTTTCTGCAAATCCTCGGAGTCTGATATTGCGGTCATACCGTTCAGTGTCAGATAACGTGACTGGCCTTCAATATATCGACGGTATATTCAATTCAAACGTTACTAAAATACTATGGCTAGTGTTTAATTAGGATTATTATTATTGGAAATTGATTTCTAATAACGTAAATTGGCAACAAATACCGGAATAAGAGTTTAACTCATATTTTGATTAAGCAGTCAAAACATTTAGCTGGTAACTTTTGTAGAGGTATGGATTCAATTTAATCATTATAAGTTGATTTCACTTTAAACTATACCTTTACTCGTTAGCAAATATTTACTCAAAATATTAGTTATTTAACTTCCAAATTAGTTAATTAGAAACTAATTTCCAATAATAAGATCCTAATTAAACACTAGCCATACTACATGTATATTAGTAACGTGTTAATATACCGTCAATATATTGATGGCCAGTCGCGTTACCAAACATGTATGCCTGATGGTATGTATGCCTCACACTCTGAATGTGTGGTAAATGTGTGTGAATTGAGTGAAAGAATGTCTCATTTAATACACAATTGTGTAAATCTAACTCGAAATGTGTTAATCGTTTCAACGGAGACAATGATTTGGGCGACAATTGAATGGCTAATACGTCGCCCTTATCATAGACACGATATTTACTCAGTATTAACTCCTCAGCAGCATTCGAAACGTATGCTGGATGGCTAAGTATGTTAGAAAGGTTAACACCTGGTGAAACTGTTGGTTTTGCGTTAGCTATAGAGAAATCTACGCCGGTAACTAACTGTTTAAGACACGTCAGATAGTGAACGATAGACTCAAAAGTATCCTCATCATTCCCATAAATATCAAGATTTAATTCCCGCAATGTTCTCATTTGTGGCATGAGCTTCAGTACACGAATAAATGGATCCGTCTTAATGTAAAACATAGCAAGTTTTAAACACTTTAAGCGATTCTTATAGTAATCAACAAATGCCGGCAATCGTCGCGATCTAGAATCGCTGTAAGAAAAGTGAGTTTCTGTTAAATTCTTCACTAATATCTCATTGTTTTCGGTGACAATCGCTGGCAACACACTCCCCATGTGATTAGCGAACAGTTGTGTGAGTTTTGTCAACGACTTTGCGTGAGATCTCAATACTTTTAAAGCCGATTGTGTGACTGATACATGTATTGCCGTCAATTGTGGGCCATATTTGCCGAGAATTGTGTCCATTATTTGTTCATCAATTTCATAGTCAAATCTGACATGAATTCCAATCAATGAGTGTTTGTATGAATCCATTAGTCTTTCAAACACTCTTTGTGTCTCTTCTGAATAGATCTGAATATCGATGGATGTAATGTTTGCACACTTTGTGACCAACGATTCCAATGCAATCAAATCGATTGCTTTGAAGGCTTTCTCTGCATATATCTCTCTATTATCTATGGATTCGTTAACAACAATAAGACTGTCTTGTCGTTTGAATACCAATCGCTGCCACTGTTTGGACAGACATTCAAATCGGAGACAATCTTTGAGTGATAAATAAGACAATAGGAGTCCACACAAGTCATC